CAATATGCTAAAATAATAAGAACAATTCAAGCTTCAAACTACAACGTCCATGTAGCACCCAAAACTCTAGAACTAAAAACTATAAAGTTAAAGGAAGAGAAGAGAAAGAAAAACTGAGAATCCTTGATCCCGAGTGTTCCGTGCTTATCTTTTCCTTTCAAAGTGGCGTCTCCCCCTCCAAAATAGGTTTAGACTTGTTTTTATGCGCGTTGGGGGGGGGGAGGGGTCTTAGGCTGAAATAACCTTGTCCCGGACGAACTAGGATACTTTCCCGTCACCAACGCCCAGGGTAGCGTGGGGCGCTAGCCCTGGCATTGGGAAAATAAACTTTCTAGAAATTGCACCACAGGTAGCGCCCCACGCTGCCTGTGGCGCTACAATAGCCAATTTTCAACCTCTTACCTCTTTTTGATTCTAATCTCGCACCTTTCGCCCCCTATTACCGACGGATGATTCCTACATATAAAAATATTACGAATAAGCATAAATCAATACATTTCACGTCCAAAATTCACGAAACACGAGTAAAATATAATACGATATACATATAAATATATATATAGTTTAAGCCAAATATCAATTATGCTATTTGCTAGGTACACTTTGATAGGTGAAAGCTTTTTTACCATTACAATGAAATGTGTTGGATCAAGCTATTTGAGAGAGTGTTAAGCAGGTTGGGTATTAGTAGGTTGTAGCGGTAGTCTCAAGTAAGTGCTTACCGTACTTGATGCTTTATTTGGACGCAAGCATGACTTCACTTGGTTTTTATAATCAATTAAGCAATGTACTATGCCTCAACACCAAAGTAGTAGGAGTTAACTACATGATATCATTTGTAAAAATATAGGAAATTTTGGATCCACCCATAAAGGTGATTTAAGGCCCAATAATATTATTAGCTAACCTTAATATTTTCTATATAAGTATACATATACATACAGTATACAAAAACAAATTGAATACGCAATATTTTCCTACGCTTAATCTTCTCTCAATCTAACTAGTGTTTAAACTGTGGAATTGAGGTTGCTTTATAATTTACGCACTATCTAATTTCAAACGAGGAAACACATCATCTTGATCCCAATCATCTTTGGAGTTACAACTACATAGATTGTTAAAATTTAAGTGATCAAATTCTTGGAATACCCGTGAAAAGGGATATGCAAAGAAAATGTCTTAATTGTCACTCAGGAACTTATTTATAGAGTCTTTCCTAGTTGCTAACTGAAATATATACTCTAGGTGTTGCTTCACTAAGCCCATGTCAACCCAAACATTGAATCTCATATCTTTGCTTTCAGATATGTCTGTTCTGACACATATAAAGCATTTTGTAGCCTTATCCAAGATGAACAATAGATTTACAATACAAAGAAGTAATGAGATAATATATGGAGTCACTTAAGACTTAAGCTAACTATAGTTAGTAGGCTGTTATTAGTTAACTAGAGTTAGACATAATTAGTTAGTTGACAACTGTCAATTTAGTTTGTTGGATATATACACGTGCATTGTACAGATTCTATGATGAATGAGAAAATATCGAGAAGCTTCTTCTCTCTCTCTCTCTCTCTCTCTCTCTCTCTCTCTCTCTGTTGTTCATCTTTGTTCTTCAATTCTTCTATCTCAATTCAGCAATCTAACATGTCATCAAAGTTGTGGTTGACTAATTCAGAGCTATGGTTGAATGATTCTAGGGATTTTTCACGGAATTGAAGAAAAATCGAGAGAATTCGTTCAATTTTTTATCGTTTTTTTTTGCTGAACCCTAATTCTATGTGCGTGATGGCGATTGGGGAAAATTCGAGAAATTATGAGCTTAGCGGAGCCACCGTGAACAGCGGCGTTGGCACTACGATTGAAGGAGGAATAATGAATATTGATCACAATCATACACTTTACCTACATCCATGTGATGGACCAGGATCGATGTTTGTCGGAATGCTGCTGATAGGAATGGATACAATCCGAAGTCGTGTGATGAAAGTCGTATTATTAGAAAAAACTAAGCTCTATCTCATTGATGGATCCACACGCAAAGCTGATTTTTGTGTGGAGTTGGGGAATCAATAGGAGAGATGTAATGCCATTGTTACTTCATAGCTAATGAGTAATGTGAGTAAGGATTTGTGGGTTAACAAGATAAATGCATTGAGACTCTACTATCTGCATTAAGAGATTTTTACCTTAGTGTAGGGATCATCTTCTATGTCAGTATATTTTACAAAGCTGAAGGATTTATGGGCAGAGTACGATTTGATCCTCCCATCACCATCTTCTAAGGAGTACGTTGATCAATTAGAATTCCAACGTCTGTTGCAATTTTTAATGGGTCTGAATGATAGTTTTGAGCAAGTTAGAGGATAGATCCTATTGATGCCTAATGTTCCAACCATTAATCAAGCATATACAATGGTTATTCAAGATAAAAGTAGGAGATCGATTGGGAGCAATATTCTGAGAAATTATGGATACAACAAACCAACAGCCATATTTATAGCTCAATCACGCAATAAACAAAGGAGGACCTATAGTCTGGAATGTGAGTTTTGCGCAAAAGGGCATACCAAGGAAGTTGTTACAAACTAGTAAAATGTTATCATTGTGGCAAAACAGGACACTTGAAGAAAATTATTATCATCTCATTGGTTATCTGGCATATTTTAAGGCCAAACGCAAAGCAAATATAGCTCAATTGGAGGGAAACAGAATGCCTATGAGCATACATGCAGCACCTACTCAGCTGCCTACTCAAATGTTTACTAAGGAACAAGTTGCATAAATTTTGCAAATGTTGAATAGAACTACTATTATTAGAGGGGATGCTAGTGCACATGAGGCAGTAAATATTTTTGTAATAGTGTTCATAACATCAAAAACTTTTAGTGGATCATAGATACAGGGGCTACAAATCATATGACTGGTAATAAGAATTTGTTACACAATGAAACACTAGTATGAAATACAAGATAAGTGCAATTGCCTACTGGGGACTCAGCCTCAGTGACACGTATAGGGACCATTCAACTCAGTGGAGGTGATATACTTCAGCATGTTCTTTGTGTATCAGCCTTTAGGTTCAATCTTTTGCTTGTCTCAAAAGTGACAAAATAATTGAATTGTTTTGTGGGCTTCTTTCCCACATTCCGTGTCTTCCAGGATCTCTTGTCTGGGAGGGTGAAGGAGACTGATAGGGAGGAAGATGGCTTATACATTTTGTCTACAATCGGGGGATATCAAACACAGAAGATTCATCATTCATTTGCAGTAGTTAACACAGAGAATGTAGCTATGCCGCACAAACAAATGGGACATGTGTCTATGATGATACTCAAGCGAATTGATAGTCTAATGACTTGTACAAGTTCTCAATTGAATAAATGTGTAATGTTTTCATTAGCTAGGCAAATTAGGATGCCATTTCCAATAAGTCACAATAGGAGCATAGATAATTTTTACTTGATTCATATGGATGTTTGAGTTCCCTACAGAGTTCTTACCCACAATGGGATGAAATATTTCTTTACTTTGGTTGATGATTGTACAAGATGGACTTGGGTGTTCTTAATGATACTTAAATCTGATGTTGTTTTCTTGCTCAAAACTTTCTTGATTATGGTTAAGACAAAATATGGAAAAACAATTAAAGTTGTTAGGTCAGATAATGGGAGTGAAGTTTTTAACAACAGTTGTAAGGAGCTATTTCAATCCAATGGAATAGTACACTAATGCTCTTGTCCATACACTCCTCAGCAAAATGGAGTGGTAGAAAGGAGGCATCAACACATTTTGGAAACAACCAGAGCTATCAAATTTCAGGGGCATATACCAATCCAATATTGGGGGCATTGTGGGAAGACAGCAATTTACATAATCAATAGGGTTCCTTCTTCTGTACTTTGATACAAGTCACCATGTGAGATGCTTTACAACAAGCAACCTTCTTTACCTAACATGAGAGTCATTAGATGTTTATGTTTTGCTACTTATCTGTCCAAATCAAATAAGTTTCTTCCTAGAGTTGTGAAGTTTGTTTTACTTGGTTATGCTCCTCATCAAAAGGGTTATCAACTATTGAATCTGGAAAATGTTGAATTGTTCATCAGCAGGGATGTAATTTTTTGCGAAGATGCATTCCCTTTCCAAAATCTCTCAACTGACTCTGACAACATTCTCATGGAGGATCATGCTACTTCATTATCCAATGTAGCTGATAGTCTATTTTTAACTAGCAGTGTCTCCACATCAGAGCAAATGGTGCAACAAATCTCTAAACTTGGAGCTTCAGTTACTGATGTTCAACCTGTTGCTCATGTTATATGTAGACCACTTGAGCATGGAGTTCCTGATGCTCTTTCCTCACACACTGAAGAATCGGCCTCCACAAAGCTGGATTATGACATGGGAACACCTGTTGCTACAACTTCCTCTCCTACACATGAGGATATCAGGAAATCTACCAGAGTTTCAAGGCCACCCATACGGCTCAAAGACTATGTTAGACTTGATAAGGGCAGCCAAGCTAGCTGCTATCAATATCCTTTATAAGATGTTCTCAATTATGAGGGATTGTCTTCCAAATTTTAGAGTTACCTTTCAAATTTCACTGCTGCATAAGAGCCACAATCCTACCATAAAGCTGCTAAGGATAAGAGGTGGGTGGAGGCAATGCAGGAAGAAATTCAAGCTTTGGAGGACAATAAAACATGGAATCTTGTTCCTTTACCCAAGGGCAAGAAAGCCATATATTGCAAATGGGTTTACAAGATCAAATATAAGGCCAATGGTGAAGTGGAAAGATTTAAATCTCGCCTTGTTGCCTAGGGTTATAATCAGAAGAAAGGAATGGATTATCAAGAAACCTTCTCACCTGTAGTTAAGATGGTCACTGTCATAGGTTTTCTATCCCTAGAAGCATCTAGGCATTGGAATGTGCATCAAATGTATGTCTTTATAATGCATTTTTACAAGAAAAGCTTTCTGAGGAAGTGTACATGACTGTGCCTCATGGCTTCTCTGGCTCTTCAGATAAATCATTAGTTTGCAAACTGCTCAAGTCATTGTATGGACTCAAGCAGGCTTCACGACAGTGGAACATTAAGTTAACCACTGCTCTAGCTTCTTCTAGCTTCCAACAAATTCATCTCGATTACTCCTTTTTCACTAAGAAAATAGCAGGGAAGATAGTCATAGTTTTGGATTATGTTGATGATTTGCACATCACAAGTGATGACTTTCAGTTGATACAAGATACCAAGGATGTGTTGCAATCCTCTTTTAAAATTAAGGATTTGGGGGAACTAAAATATTTTTTAGGCATTGAATTTGCTAGGAGTGCTGAAGGAATCCTTATGCACCAGAGGAAGTATGCCTTGGAACTTATTGCTGATTTGGATCTTTCTAGTTCCAAGCCTATTATCACACCCATGGAGTTGAATGTCAAGCTCACTATTGTTAAATTTGACAATCATGTTGGTTCTGTGGAGGAGAGGGCCTTAGATGATCCAGGGCCTTATCAAAGATTGCTTGGGTATTTATTATATCTCACTATCACTCAACCTGATATTTTATTTGATGTACATTGCCTCAGTCAGTTCATGTATTCTCCAAAAACTTCTTACTGGGAGGCTGCACTCAGGGTGGTCAAATATGTTAAGTCCTGCCCTGATCTAGGGGTTTTATTGTCAGCTGTTTGTTTTGAGTCTCTCATTGCTTTTTGCGATGTTGATTGGGCATCTTGTCCTAATACTCGGAGGTGAGTCACATGCTATTTGGTCAAGTTTGGTTCTTCTCTAATTTCTTGGAAGTCCAAGAAGTAGGCCATCATCTCTAGGAGCTCTACAAAAGCCGAATACAAAAGCCTAGCCTCCACAGTGGCTGAATTGGGTTGGCTTCTTGGGTTGTTCAAGGAGTTAGGGGCCACTATTTCCTTGCCTGTTCCCATATTCAGTGACAGTAAATCTGCTATTCAGATAGCTGCTAACCATGTCTTTCCCGAGCACGCCAAACACATCGACATTGATTGCCACTTCATCCGAAAAAATGTGTAAAATTGTCTCATCAGTACTCTGTATCTTTCCACTGCTAATCAACAAGCATACCTTCTCACTAAGGGTCTTGGGAGACCTCAGTATACTCATTTGTTATCGAAGCTCGTCTTGAAGAACATGTTCATGTCCCCTAGCTTTGGGGGGGGGGGGTGTAATGAGAAAATATGTGGAGTCACTTAAGACTTAAGTTAACTATAGTTAGTAGGTTATTTTTATTTAACTAAAGTTAGACATAATTAGTTAGTTGACAATTGTCAATTTAGTTTGTTAGATATATACACGTGCACTGTACAGATTTTATGATGAATGAGAAAATATCAAGAAGCTTCTTTTCTCTCTGTGTGTTGTTCATCTTTGTTCTTCAATTCTTCATCTCAATTCAGCAATCTAACAAGAATCACCACCTTCTTTCTTTTTATATTGCTTACATGCTCCTCTTGTTTGAATGTTACTGCTTTTGCTTCTCTTCTTAATAAAAGCATCATGGTACCAACCTTCATCTGGAAATGCTAAACCAAACAATCAGACTTGTCCGTTCTTGTGATAAAACAGTCTAATATAACATTTATTTGAAGATGTATTCGAGTAACTTAAAAATTAAGATTTTGTCAAGTTACAAATCTACCTTCCAAATGGTAACGAAGGCTATAATCGTTTTATTTACTTCATCTTTTATTCTTTTTATAGATCTCGATATGCTTCGCATTGTTTAAGGATTACAAATCCATAGGAGTTTTTGGTTTGGGGGCTATGTTTTTCTAACACTTGGCCCTTTCTACCTTTTGGTTAATATGGAAATTGTTATGAATATATTATATTATATATGTTCATTTAGTACTCCGTTATAAAGAAGCTTCTTGAAGAAGCTTATCCATATGGGACTCCACCGTAAATATGTTTATCTATTTAGTACTCTATTGAAAATAAGCCTCCTGGTGAAGTTTATCCTTTCGGTACTCCGTTATGGATAAATATTACCTCCGGTAGAAGATTATCTATATCTGATACAATGAGCTTATCCTTTTGATACTCCGTTATGGATAAATATTACCCCCAGCATAAGATTATCTATATTTGGTACAATAGCAGCTTACACAGCAGTTTGCATTAGCAGCTTACACAACAACTTCCTTTCTTCTATAAATAGAGTTTTTAGTTCATTATGTATATCAGTTTGAAATTGAATAATATATCAGTTTCTCTCTATACTTGTCTTTACTTTATAGTCTTTATTTTATAACACGTTATCAGCACAAGACTCTGCCATCTGGAGAAAATACTTTGAAAGTATCAGAGGTACGAACTTTCTTTTTCTAAATAATGTCAAATCTTTCTAAACTTAAATTTGTAGCCCTAGATATATCGGGCAAAAGCTACATGTCTTGGGTGCTTGATGCTGAAATTCATCTTGATGCGATGGGTCTAGCAGACACCATCAAGGACAAAAATCAAGCATCAAACCAAGACCGTGCCAAAGCAATGATATTCCTATGCCATCACCTTGATGAAGGCTTAAAAATAGAATATCTCACTATTAAATATCCAGTCATACTGTGAAATAATTTGAAAGATAGATATGGCCACCTGAAGATGATCGTTCTTCCACAAGCATGTTATGATTGGACTCATCTAAGGCTACAAAATTTTAAATCTATCACTGAGTATAATTCTTATATGTTCAGAAATATTTTTCAATTGAAATTATGTGGTGATAATATTACTGATCATGATATGTTGGAGAAAACTTTCACCAGTTTTCATGCCTCGAATATGCTCCTGCAGCAGCAATATTGAGAGATGGGATTCAAAAAATATTTTGAACTTATCTCACATCTTCTTGTAGCCGAGCAATGTAATGGGCTATTAATGAAAAATCATGAAAGCCGACCTACTGGTTCTTGTCCATTCCCTGAAGTGAATGAGACGAACTTCCACCAAGATAAGCGTGGAAGAGGTCGTGGCCCCAGTCGTTGTCATGGCTGTTGTCGGGGAAGAAACACTAATCATGATAATAATAATGCACCAAATAACCCTCCTCACCACCAGCAGTGGAAAAGGAAGGAACAAAAGCATGAAGCAGTGCAAGCAACAAAGGCAAAAAATACATGCTATAGATGTGGAGGAAAAAGGGCACTGGTCACATACATGTCATACGCCAAAGTACCTGGTTGAGCTTTATCAAGCCTCCCTGAAGAAGACAGAGAAAAATGATGAAGCAAATTTTATTTCTGAAGATAATTTAGACTTCATACATTTGGATGTAGCTGATTACTTTGCACTCCCGGAAGGAGAAACAAGTCATGTGATCGGTGATGAATCTGTAGAAATATAAATATTTTAATTTTTGTTGTTTGTAGTAGATAGTGTAGTTATGTAATTGTTGTACATAAATAAAAGTTATGCTTTGATAATGATGTTCTATTATATTTATTTTGTTTATATCATTTTGAAGAATATGGATAACCCTCACATTATATTTGGATCAAAGACCTATCATGCAGATATTTGTGTAATTAATAGTGAAACAACTCATGCTTGATTGAAGGCTCCGAAAGAGCCACTATATTTTTGTCTAAGGGAACAAAACTTACTATAGACAATGCATTGTTCTCCTCCAAATCCCGAAGAAACTTGTTGAGTTTTATAGATATCCGCCGAAATGGGTATCATGTTGAGACGATAGATGAAATGAATGTGGAATATCTTTGTATTACAAAGAATGTTTCTGGCCAAAAGTGCATTGTAGAAAAGTTACCAACTTTATCTTCTGGCTTATACTATTCAAAGATTAGTACAGTTGAAGCACACTCTATCGTAAATCAGAAGTTTACTGATTCAAATACTTTTGTGCTTTGGCATGGCCGTTTGGGCCATCCTGGATCAATAATGATGAGATGAATTACTGAAAATTCGAGTGGGCATCCATTAAAGAACCTGAAGATTCTTACAAATGATGAATTTTCTTGTGATGCTTGTTATCAAGGCAAAAAGATCACTAGACCATCACCAATGAAGGTTGGCATTGAATCCCCTGCCTTTTTAGAACGTATACATGGGGATATATGTGGACCTATTCACCCACCAAGTGGGTTGTTTAGATATTTTATGGTCCTAATAGATGCATCTTCAAGATGGTCTCATATGTGCCTACCATCATCTCGCAACCTGGCGTTTGCAAAGTTATTAGCCCAAATAATTCGATTAAGGGCACAATTCCCAGATTATCCTATAAAGGCTATTCGCCTTGATAATGCTGGAGAATTCTCATCTCAANTTTGATGATTATTGTCTATCAGTTGGGATAAAAGTTGAACATCTTGTAGCTTATGTTCATACTCAAAATGGCCTTGTAGAGTCATTTATTAAACGCCTGCAATTGATAGCAAGACCACTAATTATGAAAACAAAATTGCCCACTACTTTTTGGGGTCATGCTATCTTGCATGAAGCATCACTTATTCGTCTCAGATCGACACATTATAATAAATATTCTCGGTCATAATTAGTTTTTGGTCATGAATCAAATATTGCCCATCTACCAATTTTCGAATGTGCTGTATATGTGCTAGTAGCACCACCACAGCACAGTAAGATGGGCCCATAGAGAAGGTTAGGAATATATGTTGGGTTTTAATCACCCTCTATTATTCGCTATCTTGAACCATTGACGGGAGATTTATTTACTGCTCGATTTGCAGATTGTCGGTTTGATGAAATAAATTTTCCACAATTAGGGGGAGATAAAAAGGAAATCAAAAGAGAAATTATGTGGAAAGTTTCATCATTATCTCATTTTGATCCACGTACCCCTAGATATAATCAGGAGGTCCAGAAGATCATCCATTTACAAAATATAGCAAATCAAATGCCAGACGCATTTACTGATTTGAAAAGGATAACTAAGTCACATATCCCTGCAGAGAATGTGCCTATTCGAATTGATGTCCCAGCAGGACCATCTACTAGCATGAGAGCCAGTGAACCTAAAGCACACCTGAAGCGTGGTAGGCCTTTGGGTTCTAAGGATCGAAATTCTCGAAAAAGAAAATCGACAAATGATCAAAACGATACTATAAAAGGATCTCTTGAAGAGACCCAAGATCTGATTAGTTCTGAGATTCCAGAAGAAATCAATGAACCCGAGACTCAAGTGAGCGAGGAACTTTTAATAAGTTCTACAGGTGATGGGATTAATTTAAATCGATCTGAAATAGTGGTGGATAATATTTTTGCNGTATTTTTTCATATAATGTTGCACTTAATATTATGCAAGATAGTGAGGATCTTAAACCCCGATCTGTCGAAGAATGTCGACAAAGATCTGATTGGCCAAAATGAAAAGAGGCAATTCAATCAGAATTGAACGAACTTGCTAAAAGAGAGGTCCTTGGACCAGTAGTCCAAACACCTATTGGTATAAAATCAGTTGGTCATAAATGGGGTTTTATGCAAAAAAGGAATGATAAAAATGAAATTGAAAGATACAAAGCGCGCCTTGTAGCACAATGATTCTCACAACGACCTAGAGTCGATTTTGATGAAACATATTCATCTGTTATGGATGCCATAACATTTCGATATCTCATCAGTTTAGCACTACATAGAAAGCTTGAAATATAACTAATGGATGTAGTTATAGCCTATCTGTATGGTTCACTTGATAATGAAATTTATATGAAAATCCCTGAAGGATTTAAAATGCCTGAAGC